AGGCGCCGAGCCTAATCATTTTTTTTATTGAAGGGTAACTATGTACATTAATGCACTTCTGGGGTACAGTGTGGGGTTTTTACACACAATCTGAAACACTTCCATCAAACTGGTACTCTGTTTAATCATAAAAGCCATATCGATATTGTGATAGAAATTCTGGACAAAGAAGAAAATTAAAACCATGCACAATATGCCATGGCCTAATAAACAACAGTTTGTGGTAGTTTTTGACTATTTTATAAAATGTATTAATATCTCATGAAAGATAATATACACTCTAACCTATCTCTAACATGCTTTTTTTTTTTTGGAGACAGAGTTTCACTTTATCACCCTCAGTAGAGTGCTACGGTGTCACAGCTCACAGCAACCTCCAGCTGTTGGGCTGTTGGGCTTAGGTGATTCTCTTGCCTCAGCCTCCTGAGTAGCTGGGACACAGGTGCCCACCACAACGCCCGAATATTTTTTGTTGCAGTTTGGCCAGGGCCGGGTTCGAACCCACTACCCTCAATATATGGGGCTGGCACTTTACTCACTGAGCCACAGGCACCGCCCATAACATGCTTATTTTTCAATTTTATAAAACTTTCCTATCATATATTTTTCTGCTATGTCATTTTATTTGATTTTATCTTTTTTTTTTTTTTTTAGGCAGAGTCTCACTTTCTCATCCTCCACAGAGTAGTGTAGCATCATAGCTCACAGCAGCTTCAAACTCTTGGGCTCAAGAGATCTCTTGCTTCAGCCTCTGGAGTAGCAGGGACTACTGAAGCCAGTCATAATTGTTTTCCAAATCCTTTTCAACACTGTACTTGCCATGTGAGGGACAAAACATAATGATTCCCAGCACAGGCTTGGCAATCAGATTGCAAAGGTATGAATCCCAGCATTTCCACATTCTAGCTGTATGATCTTCAGCAAATCAGTGAACCTCTCTGAGCCTTAATTTATTCATAAGGGATTTTGCAAAACTAACAAGCTATTTTTTTTTAATTGAGATAGAGTTTAACTTTGTCACCCTCGGTAGAGTGCTATTGCATCACAGCTCACAGCAACCTCAAACTCTTGCCTCAGCCTACCTTATAGCAGGGACTACAGGTACCTACCACAGTGCCCTGCCTTTTTTTTTTTTTTT